GAGCAGGCTACTGAAAGCCATGGCTATAGGTCTGCCAGACTGGTCGAACAGCTCGGCAGCAATGAACCAGGAGATCGGACCTGGGCCCAGCTCATAGGCTGAAGTCAGGCAGAAAACCAGCAGCACTTGTAGGCTTCTGAGTTCTGGGACCAGATGCTACACAGTAAAATAATAAATTGGAAGGATGGTTGTAGGTTAGTCATGTAGACATGTAGAAAATTCTGTTAGGTTAACATGTAGATGGTGTCTTTCTCTCTATTGTTTAAACTTGAAGCTTCCTTTTCAAACATCCTCCAAGCTATGCCATGGTTTATTTTTCATATTATCCATTTAATCATGTCATAAGATCGGGTTCCACGGTTTGCAGAAGTTGGATATACATTCAAAACCAGCACATAACTTTTTTCTGCACAAATGGAAACAACCACACATAGATGATTTTACCAGGACAGAATCGACTACGGTCATGATTAAGTTGCACACTGCTATGGAGATGAAACCAGTCAGGAGCAACCGCCTCCTCCCTGCCCTCTCCATCAGGAAGAACTGGAGAGGAAAAAACAACACACTGGTATTAAAATGCAACACTATCCCTTTTGTGGTTCATGCTGTTAAACCATTCATGAAGAAATAATGACAAAACTTCATGCTTTCTGTGACAAAATCAACAAAATAGGGCACAGCTGATTTACTGATTATATTGAGCAACCTATTAAATATAAGAAATAATATCGTTTCGCATTCAAAAACACACTGAACTGCAATATAAAGGATCAGCACTTGGTTTGTACTTACTGCTACCAAAGTGAACGTCAGATTGACGGCCCCAACACCCAGTGTGAGATATTTGGCCTGGTCAAACTTGGCCTGAAACATTTTGGTGGAATAGTTGATTATCTGGAAGAAAAGCACAGGAATTTAGTTTAGTTTAGTGAGTAACTGAGAAATATTTCAATGGGTTTTTTTTAGGGTTGAGATATTGCCTCAAGCTCTTCTCAGGGTTACAGCAAGTGTGCAAAACTGAAAAAGAAAAGAAGCCAATGTAGAAATGCCAAGTACTCCTTGAGGCAGCCTCCAAAAGTGAGTAAGCCTCCTTTCCATCCAGAGGAAAGAAGCTAAAAATCCCCACAAAAGGGATGGGTGTCTTCATGTAAGATGGAACTGGCCAGTCTCTGCAGCTGTCAGGTACAGAGAGACTGGTAAATAGCAGCTTAACCTGATCAGTTTGCCTGATCAGTTCATATTTTGCATCAGTTTGTTGGTGTCTTTCAGAGTTAGGTTACCATAGCATGACACCAAGGAAAAAGGTCAAGCTAAAGTTGAGGCCAGGAGCTTTTACTTCATCTATTTCAACACATAGAAAAAGAGAAATATATGTCAGAGAAATATTTTTCAGATTAAGAGGATTTTATCACTGACCGCATTGAATCCAGAGAGCTGGCTTCCCAGGCTAACAATCAGGACAATAATGATCGGTTGCCTGTAGCTGCGTTTCTTGAAGAAATCCTGGATGGTGACACGACTCTGTGTGTGAGCAGCTTCCTCTTTCATTTCTTCCAGCTCAGCAAATACATTTTCTGCTCTGCCTCTCAGCCTCAGCAGGGCTGCAGGATTAAAGAAACACCTTTCAACATATTCTAAGGGGATGTTTAGGTGAAATCCACAAAGCTGGGATAGTAAACCATAGTAAACCATTTCTGCATTTTAACTTCTGGAACCAACTTGAGAATGTCATACAAATGAATTCATCTCTTTTAATATATCATAATACAAAAGAGTAATCTCTTTAGAGAGAGGATGATTTATTAAACGATATGAACAGTAAGTCCAGTGAGTGGAACCTACCACTTTTGGCCTTGATTTCTTCTTGCCGGTTGATGAGCAGATAGCGGGGACTCTCAGGACAGAAGGGTAGGATCACATACTGTGTGAGGGCCGGGATGAGAGACAGGGACAGCATCATGGCCCAGTCATGCTCTGTGCCCAACACTATCTCGAGACCAGCCACCTGCAGCACACGAGCAGCTAGTTTCATGTCATATCCATGTATTGTATAAATCCTTATTTGTGTATTATGGGATTTTGAGGAACTTAAATAAAAACAACAGATTTTGAATGAAAACAATGGAATTTGAATGGAAAAAAAGAGTAGAATTAGAATGAGAAGAACAGCATTGGAATAAAAACAAAAGAATTTGAATGAAAACAACGGAATAAGAATGAAAATAACGGAATTTGAATGAAAACAAAAAAAATTGAATTGAAGCACCGGAATTTGAATGAAAAGAACGGAATTAAAATGAAAAGAACAGAATTAGAATGAGAAGAATCGAATTTGAATGAAAACAACGGAATGTGAATGAAAAGAACAGAATTTGAGAGCAAACAATAGAATTTGAATGAAAAGAACAGAATTTGAATGAAAGCAACAGAATTAGAATGAAAAGAACGGAATTTGAATGAAAACAAAAAAAATAGAATAAAAGCACCGGAATTTGAATGAAAAGAAGAGAATTTGAATGAAAACAAAAGAATTAGAATGAAAAGAACAGCATTTGAATAAAAACAACGAAATTAGAATGAAAACAACGGAATGTGAATGAAAACAACGGAATGTGAATGAAAAGAACAGATTTTGAATGAAAACAAAAGAATTAGAATGAAAAGAACAGAATTTGAATGAAAACAAAAGAATTAGAATCAAAAGAATGCAATTTGAATGAAAAGAATGCAATTTGAATGAAAACAAAAGCATTAGAATGAAAGCACGGGAATTTGAATGAAAACAACCGAATTAAAATGAAAAGAAAATAATTAGAATGAGAAGAACAGAATTTGAATGAAAACAATGGAATTAAAATGAAATGACCAGATTTTGAATCAAAACAATGGAATTTGAATGAAATGAACAGAATTTGAATAAAAGCAAAAGAATTAGAATGAAAAGAAGAGAATTTGAATGAAAACAACAGAATTAAAATGAAAAGAACAGAATTGAATGAAAACAAAAGAATTAGAATCAAAAGAATGGAATTTGAATGAAAAGAACGCAATTTGAATGAAAAGAACAGTATTAGAATGAGAAGAATCGAATTTGAATGAAAACAACGGAATGTGAATGAAAAGAACAGAATTTGAGAACAAACAATAGAATTTGAATGAAAACAAAAGCATTAGAATGAAAGCACAGGAATTTCAATGAAAACAACGGAATTAAAATGAAAAGAAAAGAATTAGAATGAGAATAACAGCATTTGAATGAAAACAAAAAAAATAGAATGAACGCAACGGAATTAGAATGAAAACAACAGAATGTGAATGAAAAGAACAGTATTTGAATGAAAGCAATGTAATTAGAATGAAAAGAACATTCTTTTTCTCTTAACAGGTGATCCAGGAGATTCCCCCTCCCCCCCTTCTCACTGTCCCTCTCCCCTTCTTTTTTTCTTTTCCTTCCTCTTTCTTTCTCCCTTTCCTATCCCTCACTCATGTCTGTCCCGTCTGTAACAACTGAAAATAAAATAAATAATAAAAACAAAGGTCGATCAAATGGACCAATACCGCAATGCCACAATGATCCATTTGGCAAAATAAATCCATTGGGTATCCTTGTTGGTCTTCAGACAACAATTCTGACGGCTAAAGAACCAAATGGGACAGGCAAAAAAAAAAGAATGAAAAGAACAGAATTTGAGAACAAAGAACAGAATTTGAATGAAAAGAACAGAATTTGAATGAAAAGAACAGAATTTAATGTGTCTCCTTACCAAGAGCAGTAAGAAGTAAGTTAAATGTAAGCTCAACTCACCACACCCACCAGGATGCCTGCAGCGAAAGACACCTGGTTCAGTGTAGCAAATGCTCCTCTGAGGTTGGTGGGGGAAACTTCCTGGATATAGAGGGGGTTAAGGCTCATCACCAGGCCACAGAACAGACCAAAAACCAGTCGCCCTAGGATGAGGACCTCAAATGACTCGCTGGCTTTGGAGGCAAACATCAAACATGCTCCGACCACAGACAAACCGTTAACTATCAGGATGGAGTTACGCCTGGAGGGGAACAAGCAAATTTATAAGGAGGGGCGGGGGGAAGCAAGCACTGTTGGAAACTTTACAAAAGTTAGCTTGGTTTTCTTACCTGCCGTAAGAATCTGCCAAATATTTGACTCCCAGCGAGCCCAGTAAGGCTCCAAAATCTTTAATGCTGACAGAGAGTGACCACAAGAAAGTAAGACTGTGATCTGAGATTGATTGGTTGTGTCTGGCTCTCCAGGTATTGTTGAAAAACTCTTCGATAATCTAAACAACAATGCCAAAGTAAATCAGCTTGCACTGGTAACTCAATTAGATGCAATGACATGTTTTTTCTCTCTC